TAAAGTGGCCCCAAAAAAAAAAAAAAAAAAAAGTAAAAGGTAAAATTGTGAAAAAAGTGAAATATTACTACCATTTAAAATTGTCAAATATTATTAGAATTTAAAATAACTGTTTTCTAAATGTAATTTATGCTAAAACGTAAAGCTACATTTTCAGCAGTCATGTGTCATGTGATCCTTCAGAAATCATTCTGTGCTCGATAAACATTTCTTATTATTTACAATGTTGAAAACAATTGTACCTCTTAATATATTTGTGGAAACTATGATTTTTTTATTAAGGAAACTTTTAAATAAAAAGTTGAAAAGAACAGCATCCATTTTTCAGTTTTAATGTGTCCTTGCTGAATAAAAGTATTAATTAAAAATAAATAAATAAATGTAAAAAAAAAAAAAGAAAAAAAAAGGAAACTCCTGGAAACTACAGCTAGATGTGAAACCGTTTGCCGATATGGTAGGAATGTCCTTGAGTTTGAACTGTCCCTGCATCCCAATGTTCATACTATCCATCCTAAATAGTCTGAGATTAAAATAAGTGTGTCCCAAAGCATAGTATGTTGAAAAGAGTATGCCAAAAGTCCCCAGATGGTCTACTATTTCAGGTCGAATTTTGAAGTGTGGATCCGTGCACACTCTAATGGCTAATATAGGCCCTTTTCACAGTGACGTCAGCTAACTTCCGCTTTCCCGCAAAGCAGTGTATCTGTGCTACAATTACTTAAATTCCTCCATTCAATTTCACTTTAACTACATGTATACCGTGTTTTTACTTTTTTAATTATTATTTATTAATATGATTGATCGTATTTTGTTTTCATTAAAAGATGATTGACAGGCCAGTTTACTGTGCGACGGAGCAGTCCGTTAAAGACGCAATAGTATAACGTGATAGTATGTCCAAAGCTTGCCTACTCTTCTACTACACACTCAAAAGTGTGTACTTTTTTCTCACCTAAAAATTACATACTTTAAGGGTGTAGTATAAGTAGGCACATTGGGACACAGCATGTATGTTACAGGCCTCAGGTCAGTCAAGGGTTAAAGGTCATCATTAGTTTTTGCTTCCTCTGATATACGTCTGCTGCAATGCACTGCACCATTACACCTGTGCTATGGTGTTGCTGCATTGAGTTTCACCACTGAGATTGGAATTGTTGCTCAACCATGTGGTCTTGGTGTCTTCATGCGTGGGACATGCTGTAGGAGGCTTGCACAAGGCCATGTTATGCGGACCATTCTGCTCACCTGTAAAAAAATGTAAGGACATGCTACCAGGCGGAGAACCCATTGTACTTCAAATGTAGCAAATATGCTATGACAATAAAAAATAAAATTGTATGAGAGGGCTGCTTGAGGATACATTCTTGCAGTCATGTTAACAGTAAAAATCAAGTTCACAGTCAAATTTACTTCTTATTGTTCCTTCTAGGGGGGGGGTATTTTGTTTGGATATACAATATGTTATATGATACCTTATTGAATGTAAAAGTGGCATGTCATTTGTGATACATTGACCTGGTTTCCATTCTTGTATCACTGATGGTAACTGATGCTGAACCGATTGATTGGCTGGACTGAAGTAATACAGTTTTAAGCTCAGTTCACCATCGTTTCAGAGAAGAGTTATGGAACAGCATTTATATGAAACAAAGAAACAAGAAATTTTGTGGCATGTTGCAATTATTATTGCATTGCTATTTTCATCAAACTCCAAAGAGAATGAGTGCCTAAACGAGTCAGAGGATGTGAGGGAAAAAAAGTGGTTCATATCCCATGAGCTGCAGGCAGAGTTGTTTATGTTTATTTAGTTAAATAGTTTCTGACTGGTATATGAAAAATCACAGTGTTGTATTGTGTACTTTTTTGTGCTTAACCTTTAATTAACACACAGACTGGGGCCTAAATGCCATTAAACATTAAGATAATTATTTTTTCTAAATAAATGCACCTTTGATCATAAGGTGATCTCTATGTTGTCAAATGAACAGAAATTGACAATGATATCAAAACCACCATAGAAGAGCTGCTCAATTAGGTCTGACTTGTTTATTCAGTTGCTATTCTATTAGCTTTTCATTAGCTTGTGTTTGAGAGTGTGTTTTTTCATTACTGTTTGTTTGCCTGTAACTTTATTCGGTATTTGTTTAGATTTCTCTACTCACAGTCTACACACATCGCATTCTTCTAGATGGCAGAATGAGCTTTTTTGGTAGTCTTTTGATATTTTAATTTCACTGTTGTTTAAAATCTTGTGGGCGGCAAGATTTATTTTAAAGAAATTAATACTTTTTATTCTGCAAATCGATCAAAATTTACAGTAAAGAAATGTATAATGCTACAAAAGATGTCTGTTTAAGCCTGCCTCTTTAGGAAGGATGCAAACAAAATGCTTTTTACATTACCATTGTGTTTTTCCCTTCTCATTCCTTTCCCTTGTTCTCTCTCTCTCCTGCAGTGGGTGGCATTTGCCTCGCTGTTCTTCATACTGGTTTCCATAACCACATTCTGCCTGGAGACACACGAGGCCTTCAACCCCATCATTAACCGCACATATATTAACCCTAAAGACAACAGCTCCAGGTTTCACTTGGAGACAGAGACGGTGGTCTACCTAACCTACATCGAGGGAGTGTGTGTGGTGTGGTTCACCTTTGAGTTCCTCATGCGTGTCACCTTCTGTCCAGACAAAAAGAAATTCATCAAAAACACCCTAAACATCATAGACTTTGTGGCTATCCTGCCATTTTACCTGGAGGTGGGCCTGAGCGGATTGTCCTCTTCTGAAGCAAAGGACGTTCTGGGTTTCCTCAGAGTAGTGCGATTCGTTCGGATCCTCCGAATCTTCAAGCTGACGCGACACTTTGTGGGCCTGCGAGTGCTGGGACACACCCTCCGCGCCAGCACCAATGAGTTCCTCCTGCTCATCATCTTTCTGGCGCTCGGAGTGCTCATCTTCGCCACCATGATCTACTACGCCGAGCGAATCGGTGCCAATCCCAATGACCCACGTGCCAGCGAGCACACCCATTTCAAAAACATCCCCATTGGCTTCTGGTGGGCTGTTGTGACTATGACCACATTGGGCTATGGAGACATGTATCCTCAGACCTGGTCAGGCATGTTGGTGGGCGCATTGTGTGCTCTGGCGGGTGTATTAACCATTGCCATGCCTGTGCCTGTCATCGTCAATAACTTTGGGATGTATTACTCTCTAGCCATGGCTAAGCAGAAGCTACCAAAGAAAAAGAACAAGCATATTCCCCGTGCCCCCCAGCCGGGCTCACCTAATTACTGTAAGTCTGCCATGAACTCACCCCACCACAGCCCACAAAGTGACCATTGCGCTCTTGCTGCCCAAGAGGAGATTTTAGAAATGAACAGAGCAGGTAGGAAGCTTGTTTAAGTAACATCCTTCTGGATTAATGTCACAGAATCAGAAATGAGATTTAACTCACCTTTTCTTCCCTTCCACCTTACCATCTTTCTAGACCTGCCTGAAATCACACATGTAACCTGTTTTCAAAATCTCTCATTTGGGAATCATTCAAATGCAGCTCAACCATCTGGAGACATTATAAAATCTCATCACACTGCATTCTTTGCAAAGATGCGTGTAGAAACAAACACACTTCTTCACCATGGTTGCATAACGACCAATACCCCATGCAACATTTTGCAAATCTTTATGTTTTTCCATTAGACTCCTGTGAGGATAAGTTATATCCACCCAGACGAACAGGAGCAAACTCATTCAACAGCTTGCTTTTGTTTTTGTCTATCAGCTCGGCTTAGTTACATCCTACTTATATGTAAATACACAATAGTTTTTATTTGCTTTTGTGACATTAAGCATGATTGATTCTATGGCTTTTAGCATTTAGCTACAGTTGAATGATTTTGTAAGGGAGTTGAAGGGAGTTGGCTGCAACAATTAATCCATAATGAAAATACTTGATACTGAATTTCATAATCTATTTGTTTGATTTAATGATTTGTGTCACACATTTGTAAGGTGGTGGAGGTCACAGAGTGAGCTACAACAGAAAAAGTGCTTGTGCTGTTTAATGAACTTGATAGGTGTTTTCCCCAGCACATAACCTTTAAACAGAGCATATTCTTATCTGTGCAAGAATAATATGTCATATATATTCTTTCTTATCAAAAATAAAAATAATAAATACAATAATAAAAAAAAATAATTATTGCAGTCCTAAAAAAATAATTTCAACCTCCTGAATAAATGTTGCACCCCCAACCCCCAAACAGTATGTGCATAAAAAAAAGGTCTAAAACATATATGTTACATTGTAGTAAAAAACAAAAAAACAAAACCACAACAACAAAACGTTTTAAACACAGTTTTAAACACACTTGCATTTAGGCTGTTGCATGATGTTCTGCATTACTGAGAGGGTAATCAGGTTGACAAGCTGATATGTGGTGTTCGTTGTAGCTACAGAACTATGGTGTAGTAAACAACTGTGATTTTGTAACTCATAATCAATATCCATTATCTCATGTTGGATATCTGGTATCCCAGATTTGAGTTAAATTTACAAAGTGAAAAAGCACTGAATTTGTTGTAGCCTGTCAGCCACACACACTTACATTTGGATGTGGCACAGTAAGAGGGCCTGACCAGCATAAATAAGATATTTCAACCCACTCCACTCTGTCCTCAGCATTCCTACCAAGAGTAAGTGGTGGTGAGTGCCTTCATTTGGAGCACTCGTTTAAAGATTGGCTGTAAAAGAGAAGTGAAGAGATGAGCTTGTTGACTGTGTCTGATCAGACTACGTAAAGAATTTCTCATAATGTGTGAGAGTAACTGTGAGTGACTCCTTCATAAGTCTGACTGGGGGAATCCCCCCATTTTTAAATCCCATAATCACATTCTAACTTTAAATGTAATAATCCATGGGCTTTCATGCTTTTTGATTCCAAAGACCACCAAATATTATGATCCCTTTGTGATGATGCCATTCTAAAATATAAAGCTATAAACAAAGGTTGAAAGGAGAAACTCCACTGAAAGATGCAGCAAAAGTACAAACAACTCTTGAAGCAATGTGTCTCAAAAAAAAAAGAAAAAAAGGGCAATATATCTCCCCCATCAACAGAATTAAATATTTGTGATATTTGAAACCATTCTTTTAAAGGGGTCATATGACGTTGCTGAAAAGAACATTATTTTGTGTATTTGGTGTAATGCTATGTGTTTACGCTGTTTAAGGTTAAAAAAACACATTATTTTCCACATACTGTACATTATTGTTGCTCCTCTATGCCCCGCCTTTCTGAAACACATTGATTTTTATAAAGCTCATCGGTCTGAAAAGTAAGGTGTGCTCTGATTGGAAAGCTATCTAGTGCGCTGTGATTGGCCGAATACCTCAAGCGTGTGACGGAAATGTTACGTCCCTTACCAGGTTCAGGAAACTTTTCTCCATAAATGCGCTGCACACACTCGAATATTTGGGTTGTACTGTTCTGGAACAGTGTTGTAAATAAAACTTAACCACTGATTTTGTCCTCTTTTGGAAGACCAAACAAAGTAATTTGGCTTTCGCAACGAAACACAGCATCTCCATGACATGGCGGCGGCGGCAACAATACTACAGCGAGAATAACAGTTACACCCTTCTTTATTTGCTTATACATTTGGGCGGTGTTATGCAAATTGTCCCACACAGTGATGTAGATATGTGGGGACGTGTTTAAACGAGGCGCTTTAGGAGGGCGTGGATGAGCGTTCACTTTTATAAAGAATATCTCTTTGAGTTTGAGACTTTAATCTTTGCAACTTTACGGATCTTCTGAATGCACACACAGCTTGTAACACTCCAAAGACAAAGGAAAACATGAAATCGCATCATATGACCCCTTTAACATGTAGTAATTCAAACTTGGTAAATGTACAATAATTGCCTTACCCTTGCGTATAATTACATTTAATTTAAGGCTGGAATACACTACACGATTTTGGCCCCGATTTACAATCTGGAGAAGTCAACAATAGTTGGCAAAAATCAGAGCCAGTCTGCAGATTTGAGTTGACAGATTTCATAGAAAATTTTGTAGTGTATGATGGTGACAGACTTTTTAGCTTCAGACTTTGATTCCATCCAGTCGAAGGAAATGAAACATGTTTGATATATTTTATTGTAAAGCACATATTGTTTTCATTTGTCATGCATCTGCTTGCAACAAGGCACACGTTTCTGCGTGAGTTTGTTGTGATCGGAAG